GCGCACATCACATGCAACACTGGCTGAATTAGGGACCGCTGGGACGAATATTACGCCAGGCTTGCGTCGATCTCGCGAGAGAAAAAAGAAAAAGTCGCAGCAAGACTCGCGCGCTCAACACACATTCCTCTCGCACTTTTTGGGCGCTTTGCGCGTACGCCGTGAAGCGTTAGCGCGGGACAGGCTGCAGGCGGTGCGGGCTCTTCGGTCATCATTTATGCACGCGTGGAATGAGCACAATCTAGCGATTCTGTCCTCGCCTTATTTGCGTTTGGCGGTGCCTCGTCGCGCTATGAGCTGGCTGCCTTCCGCAGTGGGACTCCTCAGATGGACACGCAGAACGTCCGCAGTGACACGCGCGCACGCTTACCGCAAGACTGCGGACGAGCGCCGCGAGGCTATTTGGAGCTCGGGCGGCGCCTGGTTTCGACGTGGTTACTGATGTGGGTCGGTCCATCGTTCAAGTTTGAAAAGAGCCCGAAAAGTACAAGGACAGGGACAAGAAGCTACAAAACGTGGAACTTTACTGCTTTCATTTTGTCCGACAAACTCAGCGGTGCGAGACACATGTTATGAAAAAACAAACGAAAAGAAATGAGGGAGGGAAAGGCGTGCGTGCGTGCGTGTGTGTGCGTGTGTGTGTGCGCGTGTGCGTGTGCGTGTGCGTTTGCGTTTGCGTGTGTGTGTGTGTGTGTGTGTGTGTGTGTGTCTGTGTGTGTGTGTGTGTGTGTGTGTGTGTCTGTGTGTGTGTGTGTGTGTGTGTGTGTGTGCGTGTGTGTGTGTTGGGGGTGGGGGGGCATGCCCAGATGCCGTTTTATTTTTTTCAAAAGAATCATGCAGATTGAACGCCAGTTTATTTTAGCCTTTAGTGCTTTTTCTTCTCTCCTCACGACGACGTTTAATGCGCCACCTGCAGCAGCGTCGACATCGGGGAAAAGAAAGATGGTGATATTTCCGGAATTCCTCTGAGACAGAACTGGCACACTAACAGCGGACGCAACGGGGAAAGAAATTAGTGTGTTTTAGTATCACCCATATGAGCGAACAGAAGAACTGTGCGTTTGCGTTAGCGTTGCAAATTGGACATTGCGCGTGCGCGGAGCCCAAACTGCGGTCTCGGATTGGCATATGGTAACGAGGCGCATGCGCAGCATGGGCACACAACAGTAACGCAAGCGCATAGCTCTGGCGTTTGCTTCTATACGCAATACTAAAACTCTATTACCTGCGGACCGGGGCTCGCGTTGCGGTCTGAGGCATGCCAAAGGGGAAGAAGAAAAGCATAGTCGAACCGCTTCTATCCTACGAAGTCCATGCATTTTGTAGCGCAGGATCGCAAATATTGGGTAGAAAAAAAGGCTTATGAGGGTATACATTTGCTTCGGACCTTCGTGGGGGCCTACCGATAGTGTGTGTGGGGAGAAGCCTGACAGATTGGGATGCGTAGATTCTGCAGGATTGGATGCTACCTCTGCTAAAGGTGATCCCTGCCTTTATCACAGCCTTCAGCGGTAAAGCCTTCCTGTTGAAGGCTTCTTTAGCCTCCTGCAGGAAGAAGAACCGTGAAAAAGAGGGGACTACTACGAGTGCCAATGTTCTGTTGGCACTCGGATTCTGAACTAGCAGAGTGTAAACATCTAAATAAAACGAGAAACCATCCTGGATCCCCACGCTCTTATGCCCTAATTACACTAGCTTTCTTAACTGTCATTAAGACAACAACAGTCAACTCAATCGCGATCGGCCGGAGTTACACGGCGGCGCCAACTGTCATTAAGCCGCCAACGATCATTGAGTTCAACTTAGCTGGCCTACCTCAGTTAACTGTTCGCCCCAAGGAGGTTATAATGGGCAGGAGGTGGCGTCCTAATGTCCATCGTGCGGAGCGAGGTGAAGCGGAAGTAGGCGCAGCCACAAACTCTTCTCAACCAATGGGGAGCTCGTCAATCGGTGCCGCCATTGATTTTTGGGGCAAACAACCCTCGTTGACATGGCATTGCCGTGGGAACGCTGGTGTTTACCCCTTAATTTCATGGCGGTGTCCACTGAATCGGTGTCGAACAGACGAGATTTGGAGCCCAACACTTGCCTGACCAGTAGGAAGTCGATGCGCAGCGAACTCTCTCGGCACCACGCCAGGAGTGTCGTCTACAACGAGTCGTCATTGCGCGGCTTTGGAAAGCGATTGCGTGTCAGTCGTCGTACACACGAACGCTGAGAATGGCACCGCGGGTTGAGAAAGCCGTACCAGCCCTGTTTCCAGAAGGTGTTGGTTTTACTCTGCCGTCATGAGAATGCGGGTTCGCATCGAAACATCTTTTGGTGCGTCGACCGAATCCAAAGCCAGCCGCGACAGCGAGCAGACGAAGCCTAAACCTAACGACCGAGCGGAGAGCAGACGATGGGAGCTTGGTTGAATTTAGTTTGGATGAGAGCGCGTTCGTGCGCGAGGCAGTCTGGGATTGGGTTCTTTTTCAGGCGTCGTTGGATATGACGTCATGCCGGGTCCTGCCCTATTTAAACGTCCTTGGGTTGCCCCAATAGAGCTAAAGACGGCTGCGTCCGCCGCATTTCCGCCCTTAGCCAGCGCCAGCGAAACACTTTCAAGGGATGCTTCCAAGAGAAGGGTCAAGCAACAACTTCCGTTGTTGCTCGAGTCTTCTCTTGGCGCCTCAAGGGAAGCATGCAGCTCCATGCGCCGCAATCTGGACTCTATTCATTGAAGAGTATTATCCACTCGTTAATTAACGGTGATGACTCGCTGATCCACTGGGGTTTCCACTTGAGCAAGAAGGCTTGCCAAACGACCATCGAAGGCTTCCAGCAGGTTGGTGGAACCGGCTGCATTGCTTTCAGCTAGTCGACATAACGACCCCTCTGTGATCTTGGTCAATGCAGAAGCCGTTGCATCCTCACTTGCCTCTGCGGCAGCCGCTCGCGATCGGGTATTCATAGGCAATGATCCCACCCCTGCTACCAGGGGCTCTATGTTGCGCTTTTTGGACTCCCACGGCTACTAGCTAGGGAGAAGGAAGTGACGTCAACAACGCAGCAAACGCAGATTGGATGTTGATTTTCTTTTCTTCTGTCAACATCCAAACTGCGTTTGCTGTGTCGTTGACGTCACTTCCTTCTCCCTAGTCGCCGTCGGAGTCCAAAAAGCGCAACATAGGGCCCCAAATGTTGCAGTTAACACAGGTCGTCCTATTTTAGTCCTCCTATTCGCAACTTTTAGAGATGGGGGTACCGCTGTGCGAGAATCGCGCGCCCTAGCTCCTGGACGACTGGCTTCACAATAAATGTGCTCGCCTACGCCTTCCTGGCGTGAAAAAATAAAGTAATGCTCTAATACTGCTCTTATATAGCAAAACTAGGATTACTTATGCATTGCAGACCTAGCCTCGTACTGCTGTTCTACGACCGTAATCCGGATGACAGCCATTTTTATAGGCGCCAGTGCACCCCCTATAGGTCGTGAAATTTGCATATTTCAAGTATCCTTCAGTCCCCATTCTCGTCTTTTTCATCTCTTATTTTTGTCATGTCTTCTTTCTCACTGGCTGTTATAATTTATATATAGTTTATGTATTGTTCGTCTTAGACTACAAAAATCCCGTATAAATGTTAGTTAGGAGGACAGATTTTGGCTCTGTCACAATGTTTCAAGTTTGTTTTCCGAACGAGAACAATCGACCTCGACTGACCAGACGATGTGCCATACTCCCCGCAGAGCCTCTAGCTAGGAGGTTGTCTGCCTGAAATCGAAGAGAGCTGCTGCTTTTGCCACCAACTTCTGGAGGCTAACTTCGATCAGCTCGCGGAAACACGAAGAACATGCAAAACCACCTTCGCGTTCTGCGCTGCACTTCCACCAGTTATGGAAACCTTTCGATTCTACTGGTGGCGGCACCGAGAACCAAGCCATATAATAAAAAAAGAACCTAGAAGAACAGGCTTGAAAGCAGAGGCGTATATTTACTGCAGTCGCGATAAAGCAGAAACAACAAATAACGCCGGAAAAGGGAGGTAGGGAGACACGGAGTGCACGAGACTATTTACTCGCCTACAGTCTACGTTTGTTCACCGACACGATTTTCTTTTAACTGCCTGTATATCGACCTTACTGTTGAGCGATAAACTCCATTCGTTTTCATACCCCGTCGAGCTCTTCTGCTGCCTATACACTGCCCCGACTGTTGATTCAGCCACGGTTCGATTATTTCTTCACTGTAATATTAGCGCGAGGCTCTAACATTGCCTCCGTCGCCCGAACGGCGGAACACGGTGCAGTCGCAATCGCAGCGTTCCCGTGTTTCGTTTCGAGGCTTTGCTGGGGTGTTTCACCCGGTCTTGCCGACGATACTAATTCGCCCAACGAAGCGAGCGCCTCCGCTCGAATGAGCGCGGCGAGCACGAGGCACCGGGAAGCTCGCGCCAGGCCGCCCTCACCACGGCGTGGCCATCACTGGTGCTCTCCGAGTGCATACACAAACACGTCCGCCTCAATACGGGCCGTTCTTCCCTTCGATGCGAACACCGACGCAACGGCAGATCGCTGAAGTAAACAGACCGGCGGCGAAGCGCTGGCCCCGCCCGACTGATATTCGCTAGTCTACGCTCGAGCGCGCTAAAGGCGCACAGAGATGGAAATCAAACAAAACGCGGGCTGACTCAAGTCAGCATCTCGAAGAAGAAGAAGAAACATCCAAATCTATACGAGCAGCGAGCGCTCAACCAAACGAGGCGGGGGCGGAGACAAAACAAAACAAAAGAAGAGCCAAAGAGAGGCGTTCATACCAGGGCCGAGTTGTCTTTTAATATGCGAGCTCATCGCCACTCGTGGAGCCGCGCGTCTAGGCCGCCACTAATATGACGACGGGGCCGAACCCAGTTATACCGTTCAATGCTTTTTTTGTTTTCCTTTTTCTTTTTATTACTATCCTTAACAAGTGTCGGAACGCTCCTGTTTTGTTTAATAAGGTTCTATTTGTCTCTCGCAGAGTGTGGCCCGGCGTACGGTCGAGTGTCGCCGACGTGACGTGCGGAGAAGGGGACGAAGAAAGGGGCCGCACTCCTCGAGACCGCCGAAAAGCGTGAGTATGGGCGGCGAGGGCAGACGCAGTGACCGCGAACAGCGGCGTCCTATTATCGGCGCGGTCGTTGACGCAGAAGGCACCATTGATTTCTCCCCCCGCTTCTGGCCTCGGACGCAGCTTGAGGCTCGTCCAAGGAGTCGAGTGAGCCACGCGTGGCTGGGGGGGAGGGGGGGGGGGGGGGTGGGGGGGGGGACTGCCTGCTGCCCCAGAGATCCGAGAGCTCGTCGATGAAGCGACCACCGGGTTCGCGAAGAGACTATTACCGAGAATAAAGGCAGCGTAGCTTTAATACCGGGAGCCAGACAAACAAAAAAGAGATGAACGAAAAGAAAAACCACGATGGGGACTTGTGTGGAGAGAAAACATTTTCTATGCATACTGTGAGCTGCTTTCGTAAGGTTAGGGTGTTATTCGAGAGCAGATGGAGTCACAGGCGTCATAAGAAACGCAGGGCGTGGCGAATCAAAAGCTGCTTATTCTTGCTCTGCAGCCAATCAGATGGCGGCCTTAGCCGATAAGAACGCATGAGAACCAATCACGAGGCAAGAAGCGTGAGCAGATTAAACCGCACCTACGTTTTTTCAAATGTCAGTAACTATATAGCTACGCACGAGTGAAAAAAAAAAATGAAACAATCACGTATCAAGTAATCACGACGCTGATGTCGAGAAATCCCGACAATACAAGGCATGAATTAGATTTGGATAAAAAATTGGAAGCTGGATAGTTTACGAACGAGAACACCAATAGTAATGCAGTTTGAGGATTAAGAATAAGGTACAACGCTTAATCGAAAAGAGCAACGAAATTTAAAAAAAAAAAATAATAATAAAAATGTTTTACGATTTGTAAGGAACAATAAAATAAATTTACCGTGACGTACGGACTGTGTGTATTAATGCCTTCTCTCAACTAATCACAATGCTGTGTGTAAGGACGGACCTCGCCGGATTTTATAATTACCGAAGTTTGGACGTTCCGAAAGTATCGATTCTAATTTTCAGCCCGTGCCTCGAAATTAAAGTTGGGGTTATATATTGCTCTAGCGTTAACGTTCCGGGTGTTGTTTAAAGTTCGAAAGGTGCTGCGTTTCACAGGTCGGGTGGTGATCGAGGTTATGAATTCCGGAAGAGAAGCAAATATCTCACGTACGGCCTTTCAGTTTTCTAATCAGTTCCCCTACGAACAATACGTGGAAGCGTTTCTTTCTTCGTGTAGCAAAAGTGGTTCGCCAAAACTCTTTTTCTTATAATTTTTCTTTTATTTATTAATAACATATGCAGCGTGATAGTGGCGAGAAGCACGACATTATTCACTGAGTCTAGATTAATTTTTATGTAGTGTTCATTTCTCTCGTAACGAACAAGTTGATGATTGTTTTAAGATTAATTTCAACGTGTCACCATCAATATAACTTCCCATATATGAAGACAATGACGGATTTCTTGTTTCAAGTCGCATTCATGCATGCCGGGACTAGGAATTAAACGCACGCGTTCCTGAGGTTCTAATTAATATAAATAATTATTCTATTATTCACGTCTGTAATTCTTCGTGGAATAAAACAACTGCATTTCTTCGGCAAGAATAAATTTTTTGAGGCTCTTGCTGGAGAGCCGGCGCCATAAGGAGCAAGAAGTGAATGTCGCACAATCTTAGGGATGGTATCGAGATCCAGCTATTGTTGTAACCAATAGTGTGAAACGTTTCTGGTACTAAACAAATCAATAAATCCGTGCGGTCACAGTCATATTACTATGACGTTTTCACTTCGCAATTAGGGTGCAAATATCAGCAAGTTCAGGCAAATATATGCAAATCTAAATTTCATCGACCTTGGCCGCTTGGTGTGTTTGAATGGGTCAAAATAATTTGCCGTCGGGGACTGAGGGATGCTGAGGCCAAAAGTCGCCCCTCTACCGCACTAGCGTGGCAAAGGCAGTGGTCACACAGAACGTGATGTGTTGCTGTGCGATTTTCTCGGAGCCTGTGGAAGTGTGAGACGCAGATGGAGCAAGCGGGAAAAACGCCGATGAGAGCGCTGGCGCCAGCTCGTGACAAAATAGAACCAAACACTCGAACTAACTCGACCATAGCCTCCTCTATACTGACAAAGCCTGGCAGATCGCCACGAGAAGCGGCCGACGAAATTGAAAGGTAGAGAGGCAGACAACGGATGAGAGGAGAGCCACGTGAAGGGCGCCCCGCTGCGGTGAGACGCCGAAACACACTTGTCCCGAGTGATGCAATGTCCGCTCGTGCTTCTCGCGTTCCTCGCGCTGCCGTTTCTTTTCTCGTCGGGTTTGAAAACCATGTTTCGGATACTGACCGCTGCAAAATCTGTGGGCTGACGTCCAGGTTCCCCCAGAAATGCTCTGTGCCACCAGATCCTTGCTCTCCAAATCTGCGACCGGGCACTCTGTGGCTCCGTCGTCGAACTGCCAGGCTTTTTGAGTATAGAGGAGGCTATGCATCAACCTGTTGCGGCAAAGGGGACACATCAAACGTAGTGTGTTTTGATTGTTTGTTTGTTTTTACTTTATTGTCGCTTTGTTTCGCGTTTTATGTCTTTTTTTTTTTCTCCTTCTTTTTCGGGGAGGTTTGGAGCGCGTTCGTTTTCCGGAGAATGTCTGGAGGCGTGATGTTTTCCCCCCGCCGAGAGTAACACGGATGTCCTCGAGGAAGAGGTTCGGCTGGCACTGGTGTCCACCGAGTGAGGAGTCGAGCGCTGCGTCAGTGTTCGACTGCCAGTCGGCTTATCCACTTCCGTCCCTGCAGGCTGGTTACACGAACCATGTTAGGTGCCTGCCATATAATATAACTAGGGTTCCGTGCTTTTGAAGTTTATTTCTCGCGAAATTCGGAGGGTGTTTCTCAGAGTTCGTGACCCGTTCTTTCGAAGGAACCTTGACGAGCGAAAAGGCAAGCACCCTTTTGTCAGTGGTTCGAGATTTGAAAGGAAGCTGAAGTTGTATTTCCTCAAGACCACTGACCGTGTGATCTTACAAAGTTTATTCTTAAAACACCGTTTTTTTTTTCTTTGCTTTTTTTATTTTATTGTAGTGACCTCAAATTTTTGTGTTCTTCGGATAAATCCGAATTGATGGAAAATTTGCGGGTGAGTGTTTCTCGGATTTTTTTCGGATTTATCCGAAAACACGGAACCCTAAGTATACCCCACTCTGTGTTAAAAATGAACCAGGTGTTCAAGCTGAATAGAGGCACCCCCATAGCGCGAAGGTTATGGAAAATGAGACGCAATGTTTTCGGCTTGAGTTTTTTTTTTTTTTTTTTTTTTTGTTAAGAAGGCGAGTCTATATATATTTTTCCCTCAACTCCGAGGCTTGAATTGTGTCCCATATATATATTTACGTTACACGTTTCATTACGCGAGCGTGCGTGCTACTCGCGAAATAAATGCATTCCTGAAGCATCGCGTTCTACGACAACGAAACCTCTGCCTCTCATTGGCGGGGCAGTTTTTGTAAACCCTTTTATTGGTTCTGTTCCTACGACTGCCTTCTTTATTTTTCCATCCATAACACTCGTCACGAGTAGCCCCACTTGTGCTCCCGCCTCCTGATATCATGCTTTTTGCTGGCGCATTGTGATTGTGATTTAAATGGCATAGAGGTCCCGACACAAGCACGCCTATGGTACGAAAAATCACTTGTGAGTCCTTGGCTCCAGGACAACTGTTTCTGTGGCAATTGAGAAACATTAGAGAATATGCTAGCGTACTTGACTGCATTACCGCGGACAGGTTCCCCCTGGTACAGGCGCTTGTCTCCTTATGGTGGATATTGTTACGTCACACAAACTTAGAGAAAATAGGTGTACTTTAGTCTTTATTAGTCGAAACCATGTGAGGTTTTCTTCAATTAAAGCGCGTTGCAATAAAACAAGTACAATATATTTTTTGACGGGTAATGGGGGGTTATGGCCTTAAGATGTATTAGTAATTCCCCCGATCTGATTAATTTTTTAAATATATACAACCATTGTGTGTCAGTCTGAGAGACGGCACTGTGTTGTAAGCTAATAAGTGAATGATGGCGCAAGAAAAAAAAATGGACCCAAATCGCTGCTGCCGCCACGCTGATTATCGGAGAAATGCGTGAGCATTTCGCGCAGCGGTAGCAGAGCATGGTGATGCAGCCTCTCAGCAGTTTTCCGCGGGGTGAACATTCCCGAAACCCCTCTTCTTCCTGGTGCAAGCAGATCAGTTCACTTAGAGTGTGCATGAAGGGCGAGCGCGCAATGCGCGTAAAACGACAAAGCCATTTCGTTGTGCGTATTTATTCACCGCGAACGTGCGCTTAATCCTGCAGCGGATAGATCATGCATATGATTGTGATCGTTGCACCTGTGCAAAGTGAAGTACGCCGCATGTGCCACCGTTCGAATGTTATTTATGTAGCGACAGGGGCATTATAGAGACTAATATAGCATATATATATATAGCATTATAGCGACTAATATAATGCTGAAGAAGTGCGACTTCCTCAGCATTAGATTAGAATTTAGGAAGCTCATGTAATATTGCTTTGCTCTGTCGCGAACTGTTTAAACATTTGTGGAAGACGGAAAAGCGTTTTCTGTGATTTCGAATAATGCTTCAGATAACTGGTTTATTTATTTATTTATTTATTTACTCCCTCAGGGCCGGAAGGCATTATAGAGGGGAGTGGACACACACATCTAATTGCTCACAAAGACAAACAGTAATTAGGCAGGTAAACAAAAAAAAAAACAAAAACAGAACATTGTTAAAATAAAACACTGTCAACCAAAATCAAAAATATATTCGTAAAGTGCAACTCTGAATCCGGCACTCTCGGCTATGCTGGCAACAGGTTCGCGAAGGCGATTCCAGTCCTCGATGTCATGGGTACGAAAAACTGAAGAAAGCTTGAGGTGCGACACTGAGGGATGCCAACTTTATCTTGATGGTCGAAACGTAATGAGACGTATGATGGTTGTGTTAAAAGATTCTG